GTGTTATAAGACCCATATTAAATTGCATCAGGACATAAACAATGGATTGTTTGTTGATCTCTTAGCCACAGACATTTTAGACATTAAACCATCTTTCTCTTAGCAAATTTGAACCATTCATTTTAATTTATCCAAAATCTAATTATACCTTTTAACAAATTTGAACTACTCATTTTAAGATATCTATGTCTTACCACACTCAATTCATCCTCCATCTTCTTCCTTTAGTCCCCACGAATTTTGTTGTTTGTTACTTTTAAAAAATAAAAAATATTTTTTCAATTAAATTTTTACTAATTTCACAACACCATCACCACTATTCTCACCTTCACTATCACATTACCATCACCATAGCCACTACCATCATCACTGCCACCATCACCCCACCATTATGTTACAATCTCTACTTTCACCTTCGTTCCATCACCACCACCACCAAATATAAAAATATATTTTTTTAATTTTTTTTATAAAAAATATTTTTCATTAAAAAATATTTTCTATCTAAATAAATGAAATATAACATTGGAAAACAAGCTGATTTCAGTTAAATCTGTTCATAATTAAGAAAAATTCTCTTATTTTAAAAAAAATTATTTAGTAAGACTTTGTATTCCCTTTTTGTTTTTCCAACAAATAAATCTTTGTACCCATGCTTTCAAACCAATCACGACTCATGCTTGTTTCGATTCTCTACAATTTCCTTATTTTCAAATGCATTCATATATATATATATATATATATTGTTTAAATTATGTGATAACATAAAATAAATAGATTCATACTCGTTAATTGAAATTTTAGAACAAGCAAACCATCCTAAAAATTACAATACACAACAAAATAAAATAATATAGAAAAGCAAACCGAAACTTGCACTAGACAGTATCCTTAATTTTTTTTAAATAAATTTAAAAAATTCTAGATATGTCTAAATTTTGACAAGAATAGTGAGACAATGTTAATTAATGTGTATTTGATTTTATTGTTGAGCCAAATAAAATAAAATAAGATTGAATGTATATTTAGCTTTGATTGTGAACCTTAAAAAAAATTAAAATTGAATGTATATTTAGTTTTGGTTGTGAATCTTAAAAATTAAAAAAAAGTTGGTTGTGAACCTTAAAAATAATAATAAAAAAAGATTGGATATATATTTAGCTTTGGTTGTGGATCTTAAAAAAAAAAGTTGATTGTGAACCTGAAAAAATAAATAAATAAATAAAAGAAAAAAGATTGAATGTATAATTAGTTTTGGTTGTGAATCCTTAAAAAAAAAAAAAAAAAAAAAAAAAAAAAAAAAAAAAAAACATATGGGAAAATTAGTGGGTACCTATCCCCAACCCATCCCCTGTGGATATTTACCCTACCCAATGGATAAGAAAAAAAGAAAAAATCCATATATTTGCGTTGGGTCTCCATGGATACTCACAGGGTTGGTTATCCATTACTATCCCTACTGACCACGTCTAGAAAAGTTCGCTCAAACCGTTGAAAGGAGTTGGATTGGGCCCACACTCATGGGTCCTTTGCGTTGCAGATATGACAGCGGCACAGGCCTTGTTTATTTAAAAATTAATTTATGTTTAAAATTAGACAGAAAAATGAGTTATGTGGTATAATAATATGTTATTATATAATTCATATTTCTAATATAAATTCAAATCAAAACATAATAATATATTTTTTATATTATGTAAAAGTTAATGTGCTGTTTTTTATTTAATTTTAAACATAAGTTAACTTTAGCAGTATTAAAAAAAAAAATTAAAACATGAAAGATGAAAGTGTAAAAATGATCAAACATAAAGAGACAAATGTAATTTATTCATTCATAAAACTTAAAATGATTCTGCTAACAAGTGCCCTTTGGCACCTAAAAAAAAATACGAAACACTTTTTATTGAATTTGAAATTTTTTATTAAAATTAATGCATTTTTTTGATATTTTTATATATTTTTCAATATACTGTTTACCTTAATTTCAATATTAATAATGCCCATAGGGCACCATAGCATTTACCAACTTAAAATATGTAAGATATGAGAAATGAAGAAATCAAAATCAGTATTTAAGTATAATATTTTAATATTTTTATTTTGTTATATTAAACAAAATTAAATTATATATTATAAATTTATATAAATATTTTTAATAAATATAATTAGAAAGGAAAGTGAGCAGGACAAGTTTAAACTGAATCATTTATTAGTGGGACTGGAAAAATACACAAATATGTGTTTGCCTATCACAAAATGAGTTGAAATAATAAGCTACAGAGAGAACTAAAATGATAAAAAATAAAATAAAATAAATTATTTGCAAATTGTAGAAGTTGATTCAAAATCAACTCATACGAGTTAAATTATTTGCATTACTATTAGAACAATGATAAGTTGGGCCTAACATTGTATTTAAACAAAAATGACTTAGACTCCACCACCCCTACTGATTTTTGATTGGCCCAAATTTTTTATTTTTTATTTTTTGTTCTCCACTCTTTGACCCCCACGTGTATGTAGAGGGTGGTGCGGGTCACCCCCATGTGGAGTCTCTAGCACTGCTAGTATTTAAATCCAACTCATATGAGATATTTTAGTATTTTTTTGATCACACGTAATTGTGTGTAAAAAGATAATTATACTTGTTGGTGTATTTTTAAAATTATTGAAAATAATAATATATAGTATTTGAGTCTAAGTCAAAACTAATAATCCAATATATTACAATCCCTTATATCCAACCCATCTAACCAAATCCCGTAGTATATATCCATTTTCACTTTGAAAATTTTATGTTGTGAGGACACCTAAATGTGAAGCGATTTTTATCGTCTGTCAATTAAAATAATTAATTTCTAAGAATATAGCCTAACTTTTTATCTTACTTAAAACCTTGTATTGGTTGTCAAATACCAGGGCTCTCTCTCTCGATAAAGGAAGTCTAAAACGTTAATGAGTTACAAATTTAGAATGCAATTATTTGGTAAAGATTAATTTCTTATTTGTTTCCTTTTCAATCTATTTGGTAAAGATTATATTTCCAAGAATATGACAGACATAATTAATGAAACATGTAACGTAAGTTAATTGTACAAAATGCACACGCACGAATAATTATTTTAATTTTTCCACTCCCTAAAATACGGTTCATTATACAAATAAACAACCCCTATGAGGAGTGTTTTGAAAAGTTGGTAAAAAATTAATTTTTGACTTTTTATCAAGTTTTTTGGCTTTTTTCTTCAATAAAGTGGTGAGGTTGGCTTACATTTTGGCCCTTTTGGGACATAGGGTTTAGATTGAGTTGAGGCTTTATTGCTATCAAGTTACAAGAATGTGATGTGTGTAACTTTGTAATATTGAAAAAACATCGTAGACTTAAACTTTATGTCATCACCATTCACCTCTTTTTTATCAAATGTTATTTTTCCTCTTGCAAGTGATGAGATTTTAGTTTGTGTTTTTAAATTCAACATTTGTTTTCAGATGGCCAAATTCTTTATCTTTCAAACTTTTCTTTCTTTCTTTTGTATTTTCCTTATTTTATTTTTTTTCTTTATTTTGTTGTTCATTATTTTTTTTTTCTTTCAAACTTTATTTTTTGTTGTTTATTTTTTTTTTCATTTTTTGGTTTTTTTTGGGGGTTTCGTTTTGGTTTCTAGTGATTTCTTACAAAATTGTCATTGTTTACTTTTTTTAATTTCATCCACAAAATTTGAAAGTAATTTTAAAAAAAAAAACATCAAAAGAAATAACAAGAAAAAAAGCTTAAAAGAAATAAAACCAAAAAAAAAGTAAACTGTTTTTGATATTTTTGAATTTTTTTTTTTTTTTTTTACTTTTTTGATCGGTTTAGTCTAGTAGAATGGGTAAAAAAAAAATTAAAAATTCACTAAAAAGGAAAAAAAAAATCAACAAAAAATTACTATAAAGGTCAACTCTAAACACCTATTTTTATTCCAAGAAAAAATAAAAAATAGATTAATTTTAGAAAGTGCCCAACATATTTGAGAAGCTTATGCAAGTGGATTCGTCAAATTTCAATTCATTCATGTCAAATCCACCATATATGGATTTTGATTTATCAAACAGAGAAAAGTGAACAGGAATTAAAATTGCTTCACATATTCAATTTTTATAACTAAAGAAAAGATAGATTTTTAAAAAACTGTCACTTTCTCTTCATTTCCCTAACCCAGTTTTTTTTTTTTTTTTTTTTTTTTTTAAGAGGGAGAAAAAAAGGAGTATTTTCTACTTAGTTTTCTTTTCCTTCAACAAATCTGAAATTCAAATACAACCTAAATACAACATGAATTAGACATTTACTCCGATGATGCAAAACATATGTTCACGAACAGAGGATAACAAACTCACAAGCTCTACAATACTGAAAAATTAAAAAAAAATGTAAACCTGTTTAGTTTTTCGTACAAATCTTCCTTCTCTTGAAAACATACTAAAAAAAGAAAGAAATAAAATCATTTTTTTCAGTGGCACATCCTTTCTTGGCAAAATGCAAAGCAGAATGCTATGAAAATCAACATTATGATCACCGAAATAGTTACGGATTTAATCTGTATATTAAGCAATTTCAAGCTGAAAGATATACACTAGAAAAGTAAAATAAAATAAAAAAGAAATTGGATAAAAATCGGCAACTCCGTGTGCTGAAATTTTCTGCAATAACTGCAAAAGCCATACCTGTAAAACCATATGATACCTTTAATAGAACAAAAACCAAGATCTTCCCTCATCAAGGTTGCTCAGGGTTGGGGAAAACTTTCTTGAGAAAATTGATGAAACGCCTAGAATACAGCTTTAGTTCAACAACAGAGATTGATTCGGGATCATATTGCAGTGACTTGTACGCATGCTCTATTTTCTTTTTCAGGTTGTATTCCTGCAATATATCAATTATGCCTAGGTAGAGAACAACATCATAAACCTCACCTCATTATGATTTGATTATGCTTCCAAATTTGAATATATGGTTTTTAATGCGAATAGCCTGAGCTGGCATGTTCACTCCTACCTGCACTCGTAACCTGAACAAATTGAAGATAATTGGCAATTAAATAATGATAGAGGTTATTGGTTTCTGTTGATATTTACAAAAATTGGAAAGACTGTTAATAAAAACTCATTTGGTGAAATGGTACAGAAAAAGGAAAAGGAAATGGAAAACTGCTATCCTTCATATCTCCTCTACTTGGCTGAAATTATAATTAAAAACTTTCCAAATCGTTAAAAATAAAAAAGAAAAATGACGTCTAAAATTAAGAATTTCTTCTATTTTATCTTCTTGACTATTTTCCACAGTAACCAGACAACAAAGGCTTTTCATTGCATATTATTTCCCATTTCCTGCATCACAACTGAAGCCTAAAGGTAGCAATATTTCAATTACTAGCTAAATGAAAAGTGACCCAGTGCCCAAGGATCCCGCCACTACGGGATCCAGGAAGGTTCAAATAAATATATGTAGCCTTACCCTCATGTGAGAAGGACCTACTACCCAAACCCTCTCCTACCACCAATTTACCCTCACCTACTCCTCACCTACTACCCAAACCCTCTCCTATATAATGAGCCACTCTGATTTGTAATATAACAATCTTGTAGAACATCAATCAATAATACATCAATATAATACATATATTTTTACAGAACCCATGACTCCCAGGCTGCATAGAGCAACTTTATCCAATGGCCAAAGTCCACCCTCAGTTACAAGCTAAATAAATTGAAAACACAAGAAACTACCTTGCATTACCAGGCAGAAGAAGATCAACTTCCTTGTCCCCTACAGAGAATGCTCTCAAAGTATTTCCTCTAATGTGAGGACCTGGTGCAAAGCTGACAAAGCTTGGTTCATGAGTAACTAGGAGCAGACCCTTTGGAGGAATCAAGATCTCCCCTTGAGAGATTTCACCTAAATGAAGTAGAACATAAGCTGCAAACTAAAAGATGAAGAAAACCAAAGTTAAAGAGTATTGCCTAGTTTAGTAATTATGATCATGTTGATTTTTTAAGTAATTAAGATCTCATTAGAACAATAATTGATGGTGAATTATGAAATCAGGACTACCCTTGGGATCAAAAGATAAGAAGAGATGCATAATCATAGCAAAGAGGAAAAGGAAGACTGCGAGGCAAATGCATGGAAAGATTTTCTATCAATTGCACACACACACACACACACACAAAAATGGTAAAAACAACTCAAAATAATTGCACTTTCATAGTGTGCAAGTGGGAGTTGTTCCCATACCACAAATTTCACTTGCATCGGATACTACCCACTTGCACCTCCATAAAAGTTGCAATTATTTCGAGTTGTTTCCATTGATTGGCAATTCCCTCTTTGCTGCATGAAACTACCAGATTCAAAATCTCACAGATATACAGCAAATACCGAAGGTATGTGCACAACAAAAATTTTGAACAAGTTGGATTTAGAGATCATACTTATTTAGAAGCTTGGTCTACACTATTTCTACAATTAAGGCCAACTAATTTTTTATCAAGATGTACTGAAATTTTAATTTTTCTGGGTGACATATGAGTAATCTCTTTTGTAAGTGCATTTCAGATTTTGCGAGTAGGGCAAGAAAAATTCAGTGTGGTGAAAATAAGTAAAGAATCATTAGAAGCCTCCATTTTCATTCCATCTTCACACTAACAAACATTTTGTCATTCAAAGTGTCTCTATTGTAACTCAAATTCAGGTGTTGCACATCTTTGTACTGGCTAGACTCTAGAGATAAAGAAGCTTCTTCATACATGTGAATTATAATTTCCTATAAGCAATAGAAATTATTGGTAAGCCATCGTCCAGTTATACCTGAGAACATCCTGAAATCTATCAGAGACTTTAAATAAGTATGCTCTCAAATTTCATGCACAAATTTTAACTGTATCACAATCTAACAAATGATCTAAGCAGTCAACTATTATCATTGCAAGCAGAGTACAAAAACAAGAATAACCCCACGAGCCAAAATATTTCAAGTTGTTATGCAAGCACACAAAAATTAAAAATTAAAGAAACAATACAACCATGAAATCCAAGCAAAATAACTATAAGTTCTAGCAAAAGATGTTTGCATCGGAAATGGATAACTACCATCAATTTGAGGCAAGCTGTCATGCTTGTGCAGTAGTGCATCAGGGGGTTCCAAGAGGGCATGTAGTTGCTCAGGAGCTCTAAAATGCACTCCCAACAGAAGGCTATAATCAATTATTTGCTGAGATTCTAAGAACATGCAGTCTAGTTTGAGTTGTCTGAAAAGGAAAAAAGGAAACAAAAATCTATTAGAATGTGGTTGAAGTCATCCACAAAGTCAATGATATATGAAGAACAGTGTTTAAATGCATATGCAGGCTGCAAGCTGTATATTAACTCTACTAAGTAGTGGAGATGATAAGTGAAAAGAAAAGCACAATGCATGGCAGAAACAAGCTTTCTTCATTCCCAAGTTGAAAGGTTTATAGCTGTAAGATGACAATGCGTGTTGGAAACAATAATATTTTCATTTCCATTTGACATGATATCTAAAATATAATAGCTTGCAACCTGTCTAAAGAGATCTGGGTATCATCATTGATTGCAACTAAACTAATAAACTAACTCCATGGAATGTTTAAAGGATATCATCAACTTTGTTTGAAGCAGTTTCATCACAATCAATGTGGTTTAGTCAAACTGGATACCTCTAGTTTCAAACAGTGACATCAAGGTTTTGAATGGAGTTTACCTTTAACTGTGACTTTCTTTAAACAGACCCACAAAATGAACCAAAATAAAGATATTTTGCAGCATTGAAAGGCTTGAAGTGAATTGCACTAAATGTGAAATTCTTAATTACAAATTAATATATTTTTTATCAACAAAGCAATCTATGGCTTGAGCTTAATGTGAATCTTTTGACATTCTTTACTAAAATTTATCAGTAGTACTCTCGGCTATACATCTATGAACTAAAACAAACAGCTCATTTGCAAACATCAAAGACAGCCAAAGAAAAAAGCATACTCAAAAAGTGACTCTCGCAGTAATTTGTCCATATGAAATTCATATGATAAATCGAGATCTTTCAAAGTGGTACTATCATCAATCTCATCCGGTTTTGTGAATCTTCCTTGCTTTGAACCCTTCAAATCAAAACGACGGTGTATTCGCAATTCAGTGTAAAACATATTCCCCATGACCACAAAACGTACCTGAAAATGAAATAAAATATAAAAACCTGCACTGATCACAAGTACACATTATAGAACTAAAGAAAACACGGGGCTGTAGGGATTACCACATACCTTTTTTCCACCTCTCAATGTTATTTGATGGAGCCCGAAAAATTTTGTTATGAGGGTGTTTTCATGTGCTTTCACATGATCATAATAGCTAGGCAGCATATTGAGTAGAACCTACAGAGCACTAAAGAAATCATGGTCAATAACCTTCACTAGAACCTTAGGGCAAAAACTATGTCTTATTCATCCTTTATTATTGAGGGCATATGGACAAGGAGAAAGAAGGCTTTTACTTTCTTGACTTTTGGATAAGGTAGTCTTTTTTTATAGACCTTCAGATATGGAGGGCTTTTTTATATGGCAACAAGCCTTAGACACGGAGGGATTTATTATTTTGTTGGGCCTTTAGACAAGGAAGTTAAGTATCTTTGCTTCAAAGATCATAGAGTAAAAAGCTTTGGAAAAATTGGCAGCCTTATTCTATTTTCAAAAAATATATATATATATATATAGAACTAAGCAATTTTACACATGAGGGTCGTTCCAAAGTTTTTGCTCAGATGTCTCTTTATAAGAGTGGCACATATAAATAGTCATTCATTGAAGTGGGATAAAATTAACAATGTCTTGGTGCTCGGCCCAACGCCAGACTTACACCAATGGGGCGAGCTTAGGGCTTGGCCCAATGACCAAACACTAGCTCCAAAGCGAGGCAATCACGGTAGCTCGGTCTAGTGCCAAGCCCACTCCAAAACGGACCGAGCAACATGTTGGACAACCACTCTGAATTGGACAACCAATCCAAAGTGGGCCGAGCAATATGTTGGACCTCCCGGTTGGACAACCACTCCGAAGTGGGCCGAGCAACATGTTGGACAACCACTCCGAAGTGGACCAACTTAGAAAAGGCCAACTCATTAAAGATCTCTCTTGGAGCTCGCAAGAGAAACAACTCGACTCCACTCACATTGTTTGGACAGCACGTGGAGACATAGAGTTGCAAGGCGCACGCACGCCAGACCTGCACCTGAGTGTCAGGTGAAGTGGTTGTCCTCCATTAGTGGGAGACGGCCACGAATGAGACTGACAGGATAGACCTGCACCTAAGTGTCGGGCGGAGTGGTTGTCCTCTACTAATGGGAGATAGCCACAAACAAGACAGAGGACAAATGACAGAGAGAGATTGGCAGGGAGGACAAGTAGCCTTCTTCTACAAAAGGTGAGCACTACTCACCCTGGAGGGATCCGAGATCCACACACAAAACATATACACACTCTTGGCACTCTCTCTATTTCTTCTCTCCTAGTCCCTGACTTTACCATCGGAGGGGTTTCCGACCAAACCCCAGTCGGACAGCCTCACCGTTTGTTGCTCTGTGCAGATGTTCACTCCTCTGAGCACACTGTTCTTCCACGAAGTTCAACCCTTCTTCATAGTGCGGAAATTACCCCCGCACATTCATAATCTTGACAAAAGATCTATGCATATTTTAGTATGACATTCCATTAATTAGAAAGGAGAGGATTAAAAGTGAATGCCTTTAGAAGTAACACCAATTGAAGATAAAATGATCAAAAGCCGTTTGAAATGGTATAGTCATGTCATGTACAACATAGATCAACTAATGCAAAAAAAAAAAATTTAAAATCAATTTGAAGAGAGAGGCTCTACTTTCTTCCCCTTTGGACTTGCAGAGATTGAAGAGAGACTCGGCTTGAGAGCGCTGGTTGTTGGCGGTGGACATGGAATTTGTTAGCAGTAGCAACAAGAAGATCAAATAATTTGTGGCAGCGGAGTGAATGTATGTGTAGAGGTCCGGCGGGCGGCCAAGGCGAGGCTGCCGCCCGTACATATATGACTTTAAAAATATATATATATATATATATACGGATTTATCAATATATATCCGGGAGGAAATGGATCCATGTAGTCAACCCCAATTAATTCAAAAAAAGGCTCGTTGAGTTGAGTCTAGTTGAGTAGATTCCATTATCTAAGTGGGTTCACAATGTGTAGAATTGATCTAAGACATCAATAGAAAGAACTCTTTATGTTTGCAATAAGATATTATATATTGTTTGTTTCATTGGTTTCCTTCTTTTTCTTTTTCTTTTTCTTTAGAGGGAGGGAAGTGGAGAAAAATGTAAGAAATTGGAGTTCAAAAATCCAAAATAAAATGGAGCACAATGGTTTATACTTATATTCAGATTCAAAAGTTATACATGAAAAAATCTTCAATCAAAATTACTTTATTTCTTTAAGGTTATAAATCTTAGTAGGAGATTATCTGAAGACCAAGTTCAAGTCAATAGGCAATTGTATTAACTAAAATGCTGGGTACGAAAGTATGTATCAAACAAGCCCCAATAAAGATGTTTCTCTATGCTCAAACCTTCAGTTCAGATCTTCGTAAAGTCTTAATGCAAAACCTATCGTCGTGAGAAACATAGAAAATGCTGCCACTTTTCCCTGGAGAAGAAATCTCCCTCAGACCGTCATCACCACAGATGGACATCATGTACTCTGCAGCATCAAGCTTGAACATCTCCCTCAAATTCCTGAAGAAATGTGATTCCACCCATAGTTTCAAATCATTCAAAAATGACAATCATGTTCTAAAAATAGAACAGTGAGCACAGGAATTGAAAGGTCATAAATTGATAAAATACTAAAGGCTCCAAAATAGATGATGGAGGAAGGGTATACTTCACATACAAACAGAGACAATAGCTCTAAAGTACAGAGAAATGAACCACAATATCATGTTTATTGCTGCATTTTAATGAGATGATGATGAACTTCAACATGGTCAGAGTTTTCAAAAATTGAATAATACCTGGCAATGTAAAACTGTCACTTAATTTTCATAATCCTAAAGAGACCGAAAGACACCTCCTTACAAAGAGTGTTAATCCATAGCATATCACACTCAGTGACCCAAGCTTATCCTCGTTTAAAACTACAAATGGTAACAACGTTTTGCTGGCTCCTGAAGAAAGATGGGTTAATATGTATGTATAAAGAATGTTAGGTTAGTATCCTAGTGATCAAACTATATTTCCCTTACCCCAATTTTTAGTCTTTTTTCTCTTTACTTCTCTGATTTCTCTTTCCTTTCCACTAATTATGGATCAGACACCTTCCGGGAAAACGTACCAAAACTTAACCACTGAATTTTTCCAAAATCATTGCAGGAGCATAATTCTTATTTGCAAACTTCAATATCAATGAAATATATAGTTAAGGCTTTGCTATACACATGACCAAGCTTTCAATTATAATGAATGAGAAGATAGAAAACCACTGGCCCATGCTAAGACAGATGTTGCATCACAAGATCAATAAATACCTGAAGACCATAGGGCAGTAGTCCTTCCAATAGAAATCAATAGAAGAGTGTGCAGGTGTAAACTGGGAGCCCTTCTTTGGAAAATACATTCTTATTCTAGCTTGTTTTCCAAAATCTGAAGCTCGAACTTCACGCTCAGGCACTGGTGTGATCTTTCCAACAGTGTACCTGTGAGCTTTAAATGAGACATTTTAGCAATAAAGCATACTTTCTTGCGTTATGTTGTACATTCCAAGGAAAACAATCAAAATCAAATAACAGCGGGCCAGAAAATATAAAGGATAGATGAACTTATTACTGTTACTGATAATAACAATAGCCACAATAGTAATAGTAGAAGGAAAGGAACAACTTCCTCAGTTTGGTTACCTGATTCCTAGTTGCAGATTAAGCATCAGATGATAACTCCTATGACCTTCAAAAATGTCAATACATGACCTCTTTTTCACTTTTTTGGCATGAAACTTATTCCGCTGTTTACTTTTGTATGATAGTCCTGTAGTTTTTCTAATCCTTTCTTTGATCAAAACTCCTTGCATGTATTCCCTTTCAAAAACTACAGTAGTATTATCCTGCACCTCATGCTGACACCCATCAGAGGAACGCGATAACACGCATGAAGTGTTGCAAGATGAGACCTTGCTGGTGGAATCACAAAGGCTCCGACCTTCATCCAATGGCGTACTCCTCTGGGATCGACTTGAACCTTTTGAAAAGCTGTTAATAATCTTCTCGGAAAGACTACGCTTGATCCTAGGACTGGGAACCCTGCACTCCTCTGAATTTAAGAATGGACTATGAAATAGCAACCCTTTCCTCTTCAGTGATGGATCGTTACTTCCAGCAGGATAGTATGTTCCTTGTCCATCCTTCAGACCCTTAGTCCATGTCCCAAAATAATAACTCCCATCTGCAAACCTGTAACAGCCTGAGCCATGTCTAAACCCATTCAACCAAAAGCCATCAAAAAGATCACCACTCACCCATTTCATGACCCCTCTACCACACATTTTCCCAGCTTTCCAATTCCCAATATATGTGTTACCATTACTCCAAACATACCTACCTCTGCCTTCATGTATTCCCTCTTTCCATGAACCATCATAAATATCAGAATTACAGTACTCTTTCCTTCCAAGCCCATGTTGAATGTTCATCCTCCAGTACCCTCTGTATACAGACCCATCAGCACTAGTAAAGGTGCCAAAGCCATGAAGGTAACCCCCAGAGAAATCACCATCAAATGTTGCTCCCGATTGCCAAAAAACCTGTCCTTTCCCAGTCATTTTTCCTTCATCCCAATCACCCTCATAAACCATTCCATCTGACCAAGTATACTTTCCCTTGCCATGGGGAAAGATTCCCTTGAAATTACCAACATAGACGTCTCCATTTAAGAAGACCTTATCACTGAACCTGAAAAAATAGGTTACACTTTTACCAAAATAAAATCAAATGTACTAAAATACATAAGAATGAATATTCATGTGTAAAATCTTTCCTTCTATCACCAAATGGAAAATATGGATGCTAAAGAATAAAAAACACCTTTCACTGCTCTCCATGACCAGCATATGACAACTGATCTAGCAGTCCTTGATGATTTCCAATGAACTCATCTTAAACACCTTGCTTAACCTTAAGCAATGAGAAAGAAACTCTTTCATGTTGAATTGCAATGCCCTGAACAATGAAAACAATTGCCGGATATATCATAGGACTGGGATTATTAATATACGTAACCTTGAAGTAATAAACATGTAAGCCTAACATGCAGCAAAATAGATATACATAAAGGGCCTGTTTGATTTGGCAGATTATATCATAGGACTGGGATTATTAATATATGAGACCTGTTATCAGGATTAGATTTCGACAGACATTCTATCTAACAAAATTGACGGATTTTTTAATCCTACAACTAATAATGCAATAAAAACATATAATTGAAATTATATATTTTCATATCAAGTGCAAAACAAGCATGAATAAGAGGAAATGATTTGTCTCACTAGTCCGGTTGAATAACCAATTCTTCGCTAATTTCATGATTGTTAATCCTCTCACTATTAATCTTACTAATCAAATAGGCTCAAAGAGAAAAACTACCCATCACCGATTTTTTATCACCATTTTATATCATTGGTTCTCTTATTTGGATATAATTATTACGCAATTAATGAAAGTAAATAATATCATGTATGAAATTCGGTGATATAAAGCTTTCATAAAAATAAGTGATACGTAGCAGTCCTCTATGCATAAATCAGACGAAGCAGAACCACAGTGTTCATCAAATTGCAATCACCAATGACAATACTCTCAACTTTTTACCGAATGAATGCAATGTAATTTTTCAATCGCGAGTTCCATTATTCTATTCAATTCAATTCAGTGAATAAAAAGTATAAATCATTGTGGTGATTCAAATGCGGCCGAAGAGAAAACGCAAACTCACCTGTGATAGATTGATTCCACGAAGTGAATGAAATCAATCGAAACCCTAGCGCGTAATTACTCAGCAACACACTGATCCGAATCCGTTTCAGAGTCTAAGCAACCAATCTAAAGATCAGAGAATGTCTCTCTCTAAAACTCTCTCCCTCTCCCTCTCCCTCTCCCTCTCCCTCTTTCTAATTCATATTTTCATACTGTGAGTTTCACAATAAATTTCATTCTTGTAGAAAAATTAAATCCATCAAATAATTATATATTATAAAAACAAATCGCATTTTATAATAGTTTTAGTTTAATTATATTTATAATTTATTTATTATATATTATAAAAACAAATCGCATTTTATAATAGTTTTAGTTTAATTATACTTATAATTTATTTTATAAAATAGAATATCTAGTGTGTGTTTGGTTTGTGTTTTGAAACATATTTTTGAAAGAAAATTTTCAAAAATATGTTTGGTTACAAATTTTTTCAAAAATAATCTAAAATTACTTTTCTCTATTATACATCAATCAATCACTTGTTCTCTCATTTCTTTCGTTCTCAATCACTTTTTGAGATGATTTAATATTTTGTTATAGTTAAATAAATATATATGAGGGAAAAAGTAATTGAGAAAAAGAAAGAAAAGAGAAAAATTGATTTATTTGATATGTAGGAGAGTGAAAATAATTTTTAAATTTTAAAAAAAAAAAACTAAACCAAACTAAATTTTAAAAAAATTTATCAAAAATTATATCTTAACATTAAACTAAACAAATCCATAATTTTACGAAATAAACTATTGTTAGGTCTAGGAGGGCCACCCTAGAAAAGTCCAGAAATCGACACGTGTCAAGCATCCAAGTAGTGGAATCACGTCGCTCTGTGATTTTGCTTTGATTCATGGGTCCCAAAGAAAATGTACGGTGTGATTTGAAGTGGCGTAGTGAAGGTACTGTGTACACGGCTTACGTGACATATTCTCCGCTTTTATTTTTTTTTAATTTTAATTACTCTACTATTATTATATACGTCACCACGTCACGACCACGGATAAATTATACTAATATTAGATTTTGAAAATCTTGCAAAATTCTCTTTATCAATAAATCTTATTTTTTTAATAAAATAATTTGTGATTGAGAAAAAAAATTTAAGATAAACTATAAATAGACTATAATAGTTAGATTTAATTTTCGTTAAATCTTATCTTAATGAAATTATCGTAAAAATAATTTTTTGTAATATTTTTTTACATATATTGTTAAGAATTAATAATTTAGTTATTTTTTTATCAATTTTTTTTAAATTATTCTTAAAACTTACAATTAATGACTTTTTTATAATGAATTTTTTAAATTATTGTTAAAAGTTAAAAATTAATAACGATTTTTTGTGATTTTTTTAAACTATCGCTAAACTTATAATTAGTGATATTTTTTGTGATAAATTTTTTAAACTGTCGCTGAAAATTAATAATTAGTAACTTTTTTGATAATATTTGATAAAAAAATATTATTAATTACCATAAGACCTATTGAACAATAACTTACACGTAATATTAGAAAAAATTATAAAAATATTTATGGACCATAAATTGTATAACCACAAGTTTTTGTGTTAATATTATCCGTTTTTATTTTTAAATTATAAATTATTATTAATTTGGGAAGAAGTTAAAAAGATTAACTTTTTTACACACAAAAATCGCCAAAAAAATTAACTTTTTACAAATTTTTCAAAACACCACAATATCTCATTAATAATGTTGTCATCAGAGCTGAAGAGTAGAGTGTCCTATCACCACGATCAAAATACATAAATTACAAGGTCGGTTGGATTTGAATCTTATCAAATTCTCTTTACAAATACTCCATATTTATATTAGTCATCCTAATCACATTAGATAGATTATAAGATCGGTTAGATTTGAACCTTACCAAGTTCCCTTTAATATTTCAATTCTAATTTTCCAAAATAGAACCAACAAACTTTATTTTGTCCCAAAGAAATAAAAAAAATTAAACATTTGATTCCTCAACCTTTTGTAGAACACTTTTTAGAGTAATTTTTTTTTTAGTCAAAAATACAGAGCCTTGTGCTTTCCCAACCCATAATTTTATGTCAAAAATACATGTATATAATTCCAGCATAATATTTTTAACTCTACATCACACTACCATAAAGTTAAAACCTACCAATTGCGTGAAAAAACAAAATAAAAAATAATACAATGAACTGCCGGAACCTCATTGCCTTCGACCATATCGGTTACCCCTCAGCTTGTTCACCGGATTTAAGCTACCAAGCGGAGGAAAATCATCTTTCACATTGAAAATGGAGCTATTGTTTGCCTCTGCAGCGATTCCTACAGGTTCTTGAGGACGGGTAATCTTATTATTTTCCTTTTGGTTTTCTTGGACCCGCGACTTGATTGTTGGAGAGTACACAAGAGGTTTTATTCCCACGAGGTCTGGGTCAGCTGCAAAACTGTATGGTTGTTTGCTGTCATCCATTTTTCTAAAAGTGATCGAAATCCTGCAACAAAGAAAGTACTAGTAATGAGAAAGATGTGATTATTAGAACGAGTGACAGAGATTAAAAAAAAATTAATTCTATACACGAGCGAAAGAATAACATGCCTTCTTGCCGGGACACCAGGAACACAATGTTTAGCAATGTCAGCTCCATTGCCATTTAGAATGAGCACCGATCTGCAAGATGCAGACAATTTAGGATCAGAGGTGAAAATATTTGCAAGTTGGGCAGAGTTGAAAACAACCCACGTGTTACATAAGATCTATACCCATTGGTTAAAGTCAAACAATGATAATAAACACTAGAAACAACCTTTGTGGTATTCACCCAAAACAAAACCTTTTTGGAGTTCCCATAACGTTTGTCCCATTTATGTAGGGAAGGCATTGAGCTATAACTTTCTCAAAACACTAGGCCTACCTCTCTTTATTTTTCATTTTCTTAAACGCCAATGTAAAGAAGTAGAAGATAACAGTTAAAATTTAAAAGATGCTATCTTTGTGTTTCTGTGTTTTTATGCTTGATTTGGTTGTGTTTTTCTATCATCTTTATTTTTGTGTGAAAACTGCTTTCGAATATTTGAAAACAACTTTCAAATGTTTCCTAAAAAGTAACTTGCCTGCATAATTTTCTTTCCGTGTAAAGAGTTCTCTAAGTTTTCCGAAAAATGAAAGCATAACCAAATAGACAACTTAATGCATTAACTAACTACCAACCCTTGCCATAATTAAAGAGACACTTAATAGCTACTGGGCAAGAAACAGGATCGTGATGACGTACCCGACTGGCAAAGCTATAGAAACAGGACCAGAAAACTCTCCCGGGCCAAGAATTTTCAGATTTGCACCAAAGAGTATATTGCACTCAGTCAAGAACGAAACAGTGCAAAAAGGTCGAAAGAAGTCATGGTGATCAATGTGAGGTGGAATGCAATCCCCTTCATCATAGATATTGACAATACAACTGTTGGGGACACATGTTGGAGGCAAAATGTGCCACCTCACCATCCTCTGGATCATTTGCTTGAACAAGGGAGGTAGCGGATCGACTTCCTCATCTCTAATAATACCTGGGGGATTCCCATTTTTGTCCTGTAAAAATGAGTGAAAGAGAATCAGAGATAATTGGGGAGTTATAATGGAAAAAGAATAAACAAGCAAATTAGATCGAAATATTACCACTGCGTAGTTATAACAGCAACCAAATTGAATCGTGACACGTCCTTTACCTCGCATCCACTTCTTTGGTTCGGTATATGTTCGAGCTGCAACACGTTTATAGCAGAAATAAGATAAACAAAAAGAATATAATCTTGCAAAAGTAAATTGCACTCATTAGCATGAATACCACATGTCAAACTTTGCGCAAGTACAAGGGAAACATAGACAAGTTTGGAAGTCATTGGACATTTAAAAAAAAATCTATATTTCTATTATTTAAGGAATCACAAACCAACACCGTCCAAAAAAAAATGCGAGAAGTATTACATAAATCACGTGACGCAAAATTACAAGGTCAACTACTTAAACATTCAATGCCATTAGTCTAGTCTAAACACACCTTATAGTTTTCCCAAAAACTGCTATCAAAACATGATGAATTAATCATTTCATATCCTCCGTAACAAGTTCACGAATTTACTTAATTTGAAAGGACCATCCAAAATCCAATGACAACTTAATTTCAAAGCTTATTTGCAATTTAAACAAGCATGCAATACCTGCCCAAACACACATTAATGTGTACTAATTGGGTGTTGTTTTATGCAATAACTGCCCAAGACAGTAACACTCAAGGAAATAAATACTTCTTACGTGCATAACAAAGAACGGAAGAAAAAAGACGTAACCAGTTCAAAACAAATTTCTCACTTAACTTTGTCATATTTCTGTCATTTATTTTTATTATTATTATTATTATTATTATAAATTACGTGCAATGGATAGAATAAAAGTATCTTAATGGATCTAAAGAAACATCTAAAATGAGATAAATGACATTTCGACTGCAGCTTTAGTATACATACCTCTAAGCTGACCGTTTTGCCCCATGCGCTGTAAATTATAAACACGATCAACAATCTTCTTCTGCTCCTCGGTATTAAAAACTTGAGTGTGAAGTTCGAGTCCTTGGAGGACATTTGTCGCCTTCCCATCGATCCTCTCAATATGAACATAATCCTTTTTCCTGCCAATTTGAGCGAACCTAGTACGCTCCTTTTGCTCCTCCATTACACCAAGCCCGTCGTTTAGTGATATCTGTTTTATGTCCACTGATGCAGGTGATGAATTAACAGATCCGTTTCGTATTCCTGAGTGACCAGCAGGCTCAGGGGTTCGGATAGAGCTCCATGATGTGCTCTTAGTAGAAGATTGTGAATTTTTCTCTAATACAGAAGAGCTAGACGAGTTTGCAGACCAGAATTCTACCGAATTTTGACCATTACCACTTGATACTGATAACTCACTCGTTTTTTCTGCAAAAATAGAAGGAAAAGAAATAATGTCAAGGTACTTTAAGTCATATTGCAGCATTCAAAAGATATTACACACAAAGTACAGAATGCAAGGCCATTTATCTAATTATTTATATCACAATAATTTTTCCATAGATGAAAATAAAAATTATTTGACAATAGAAAAAAAAATCTATTTTTTCAGATAAAATGTTACGCCCAAGAACATTAGGTTTCTACTATTTGACTATGGATCTATCCAGCGATTAGTGCTTTTTATTTACAACTTCAAGATTGTTTGAATAAATGTATAGAATGCATATATGATATAGTGTGTATAAAATTTGTACCAATTGGGCACACCGATCCACAATGTGGATATCCATATGAAGCAAGGGATGTAGGAACAACTTTTCTAAAGTTGGAAGTTGATAATCATATAGTAGCATAAGCTAATAGCATCCCTCCTCCAACTTTTCGATTTCTTAGCTTATTTTAAACTATTTATGCTTCATAGGTTGTTTGACTCAAATGCTTCTAACAGATGATGGGGTTGAAAGGTTCTTGCTCAATTGCGAGTTCAAACGAGAACAGAATCTCCAAGAAATTAGGAGACAATGAGTGGAGGTACTATGAGACAGAGCAATGGAAGAGGACAGGAACATCACTGATGCTGAACAGTTGATGAAACAGAACAAATATCTAAATTTTTAGGCAGTTATAGGGGTTGTTTCGGAAACCGATTTACCCAATGTGACATGTTTATTCATTCACTTAGCAATTCTAAGGTTTGTGCTTTACACAATACTAGGAGCGGTGGCACACACGATGCATGGGCATATTATAAAGTGTATGATTGAATTCGAAATTTGAAAAGCTGTGTGGCTTATGATATACAATACATAGATATCAAAAACTGTGTGGTTTATGATACAATAAATAGATAACTAATTTTTTTGGGGTGTTTGTTGAATTAGAAACATGGGTTGGTTTTGAAAATTGATTAGCAGTTATTTTACCTAATGTGGCATGTTTATTCATTCATCTAGCAATTCTATGAGCCTTTTTTATAATCAAAATTGTGTGACAACAATTCAAAAAGCTAACTACTTTATATAATAGAACACAGATACAAATCAAAAAACATAAACCCTAATCATAACTAATTTATACGAGAGAGAGAGAGAGAGAAAGAGAGAGATAGAGAGAGAGAAAGAGAGAGATAGAGAGAGAGAGAGAGGTTACTATTAATTAGATTGAGAATACGAGTCTGCAATAGATCTTGACAGTGAAGACAAAACCCGCCTCCATCAGACAAGGCTTCCAAAATCTCATCACGCCCTAGATTCTTCAGCAACCCTGCCAACCCATCTCCGGCTGCGGATTCCGGCACCTTGCTGGAAGATTCTCCCGTCATCTTCACCAAAATAAATTCAAGGAAAAAAGCTCAAGCAGAGAAACAGAACAGTTTCAGAGAAAAGGAAATCTGAGAACAATTCAACTTGAAAATTTCACAAACTATTATGTGTATCTTTGGCTGTGTGAGTAGGGTATACATACAACGGATTAGAGAAAGATGGGGTTGGTTTAAATACAGTCTCCCAATCCAACCCAACTAGGCTTTGAGAGAAACAGAGACTGAGACCGAGACACAGAGGGGGCGACCACAGTTTCTTTCTTGCTAGTTTCCTAAAGCGGTATTTGATTTTTCGATAAATTACACTGACGTCACTAAAATTTATATTTATTACCGTGCACCCGTATTTGAAAAATTATATTGATCGCCTTATCATCGTAATTATTTAACTATATTAATTTTTAAGCTAAAATAACATATTTACCTTTAACTTTTACATTTACTTTAAAAGGTAAATTACATTCACACCCCCCTAAGATTTTCATTTAATACGGATCCCCCTTTATATTTAAAAAAAAAAAACTAATTTAATAAAAATAAATATAAAGAAATATATTTAATTTGTAAAAAAATATTTCTAACCACTCGAAAGATAAAAGTTATATAAAAATGATAATTATTTTTTATTTTTTATTTTGTAACCAAATTAATTTTTTATTTAAAAAAAAAATTCTAAAAATCAAATCATACATAACCTAAGAATCTTTTAATAAGTCATTTCGTAAGTTGGTATCTTATTTAATTATTTGTTAATTTTACGATATTTTTAATATCTGAGACTTGTTTGGTAACCATTTCGTTTTCAATTTTCAATTTATATTTACAAAAATTTTAAAAACTGTCATAAAAACTTGTTTGATAATTTTTTGGGTTTATAAATGGTTGTCTCAATTTGTAAATTTGAGAAGAAAATATAAATTCAAAAAATGAGTTCACGTTGTTTTTAAACATAAATTTTAAAATTTGACTAACAAAAGAATATTTTAATAAGTCATTTCTTAAGTTGGTAACTTATTTAATTATTTGTTAATTTTACGACATTTTTAACATCTGAGACCTATTTGGTAACCATTTCGTTTTCAGTTTTCAATTTATATTTACAAAAAATTAAAAAACTATCATAAAAATTTATTTGATAATTTTTTTAGTTTATAAATGGTTATTTCAATTTGTAAATTTGAGAAAAAAACGTAAATTCAAAAAATGAGTTTACGTTA